AGAGAACCCTCCCGCAATGCATCGCAGCAGATGAGACCCAGACAGAGGGGGTAAGCCGCCGGCGCAGGTACAGGGGACTGGTGGGGAGAGGAAGCAGCCCAGGGCGGGCAGAGAGAGCCTGTGGGCTGGCACGTTACGGCAGACGCCCCGCCACTGAGTCCTTAGGGCCGTGGGCTGGGGTCTGTGAGAGGGGGCGGGCCCGGACCCCCCTCTCCCCGCTACGGGAGGTAAGACGACCTCTGACGGCGAGGAGGCTCCTCGGGCCGTCAGTGTAATTGATTGGGACGCCGGACGGCGATTCACCAGGTGACGGGAACACGGGACTGGGGACGGAGAGTTAGGGGTGCCATTGGGGCCCCACGATTCACTCATTTACACCCACCCTCAAGAAGATTTGAACTAACTCCCTTGCTATTGTCTTAGAATGGGTATTTCTCAGGGGTACTGCCTCAGGGTATCGGGTGGCGTAGTCCAGGACCACTAATATGTTCCGGTGTCCTTGGGCTGAATTTTCTAATGGGCCCACTAGGTCCATAGCGATGCGTTCAAAAGGGACCTCAATTATAGGTCGGGGTATCAGTGGGGCTCTCAAGTGCGGCTGGGGCCCATGAAGCTGGCATTCGGGGCAAGAGGCACAATACCGCCAAACCTCCATACATACCCCGGGCCAGTAGAACCTTCTTAAAATCCTATCTAGGGTTTTCTCAACTCCTAGGTGACCCCCGAATAAATGACTGTGTGCTAGGTCCAACACGGCTCGCCAAGAGCTGTTCCACCTCCTGTCCTGGGCCTGGCAACACTCGGTACAGTAGATCCCTCTTGATAATGTAATAGGGTCTAGGGCCCTTGAGCCTTCCTTCTACAGGGATCCTGTTTACTTCAACTACCTCTTTACGAATGTTTTGATACAGTGGGTCGTTGGCCTGGTCCTGTCCAAAATTTTCAAGTGAGGGCCCTACCTGCCTGGGCTCTGGGGAACCTTTGGCCTCTTCCATCCCAGGGGGCCCTGCTGAGGTAGGCCCAGCCTCAGGCTCATTTACCTCTCTCAGTGCTTCATTATCAGTTGGCTCAGTTTCCCTCCCAGCCAGGGCCTGCCTTAAGTTCTGGGTCAGAATTTGAGTACCCAGTTTCTTGGCTGCCCTCCATTCCGGCTTTGATTTCCAGGGTTTCTCAGGCTCAGAAAAACGGTCCTGGGAAAATTCATGAAAACTTGGGAGGGAGCTATCTTCCTTTCCCTCAGTTGTAGGAAGCAGGTCACTAAATACAGGGAAGTCCCACCCAATCACAACTGGGCATGGGAGCCTCGGAACTACCCCCACTGCAACCATTGTGACATTCCCCAGGATCTCTATTTGTACGGGACAACAAGGTAATAGACATCTCCATGGACGCAGGAGATCCCTGTGCGCTTGGCATGGGTCAGCTAGTCTGGTTCCATCAGCTGCCTGGAGACCAGTGTGATCTGAGTCCACCAAGGCCATGGTCTCTATTCCATTCATCTTAATGGATCGGGTGTACAGATAGGGGGCCATTGCTATGCCTGCCAAATTTATGAGATTGCAGGGGCCTCCCAGGTCTCCTAGGTCTCACTGCATGGGTTCTGTTATGTTTGGACAGTGTGCCGCTATATGCCCAATCTCCCCACATGTGTAGCATCGATATCCTGCCCGGGGCATCCCATTTCTTGGGCTACTGGGTTTTACCCCCTGACCTTCCTGCCCCCAGCCCCCAAGTCCATTTACGGCCTCTTGCCGCTCTTCTGTCTCCCTCTTCCCTGGCCAATTCTTACTCAAGGGTTCAGAGCCATGGGCCTTTGGGGCTAGTCCAATTCTCTTGTCTCTCCGGACTTCTTTGCTGAGAGGTTGCGAAAGTCCTTTAGTCGTTAATTGTCATTTTCACACATGCAAAATGGGAAGTGACTAGCTAGGAAGGTGTACTGCAGAAAAGGATCTAGGGGTCACAGTGGACCACAAGTTAAATATGAGTAATCAGTGTAACACGGTTACAAAAAAGCAAACATCATTCTGGGATGCATTAATAGTACTGTTGTAAACAAGACACGAGAGGTAACTCTTCTGCTCTACTCTGCAGTGAGCAGGCCTCAACTGGAGTATTGTGTTCAGTTCTGGGCACAAATTGGAGCAAGTCCAGAGAAGAGCAACAAAAATTATTAAAGGCCTAGAAAACATGAACTATGACGGAAGACTGAAAGAACTGTTTGTTTAGTTTGGAAAAGAGAACACTGAGAGGAGACCGAACAGCACTCAAGTACCTAAAAAGATGTTACAAGTAGGAGAGGGGAAAAAAATATTCTTCTTAACCTCTGATGATAGAACAAGAAGCAATAGACTTAAATTGCAGCATGGGAGGTATAGGTTGGACATAAATTTCCAACCTAAAATTTCCTATCAGGGTGGTTAAGCATTGGAATAAATTGCCTGAGGAGGTTGTAGAATCTTCATCATTAGAGATATTTAAGAGAAGATTAGATAAACATTGGTCAGGGATGGTCTAGATGGTGCTTGGTCCTGCTGTGAGGTCAGGGGAGTGGACTTGATGACCTCTTGAGGTCCCTTCCAGTTCTAGTGTTCTATGATTCTGTGCTCTATGATAGTCTGAAATGAGGTCTCTGGAAGGAAGGCTCTGGCAGGGGTCAAGTCAAGCACTGCCCCAATAAATTCTATTCAAGAGTTGAGTTCTGTTCATTTATCAACAGATCCAGCAATTGGAAGGTGGCTTGGACTATGCTGAGATTCCATTTATGAGCCTTTGATCAACCCTTGATCAGCCAGTCATTGAGGTAAGGGTAGACTTGGACATCTTGCCATCTGAGGAATGTTGTTACTACTACAGGGCGGCCTCTCATTGTAGTCCTCCTTTGGTCACCACAGTGGAGTGATATTCCTCTCTGTCTCCATTCAGTGCTAGGGATTTGGGGACCAGCTGCAGACTGAAGATGGTCACGACAATGGTATCAGAGTCAGGTTGCCCCAGAAGATCCTGCAGGGCCCAGTGCTGGGAAGGAGCTCAAAACTCCATGCTACTTACTGTTCAGAGATGTCAGAGCAGCAGTTGTCCCACTGAAGCTAGGGGATCCAGAAGCGAAAGTACCATAACATAAGAACATAACATAACATAAGAACGGCCGTACTGGATCAGACCAAAGGTCCTTCTAGCCCAGTATCCTGTCTGCCGACAGTGGCCAGCACCAGGTGCCCCAGGGAGGGTGGACCAAAGACAATGATCAAGCGATTTGTCTCCTGCCATCTCTCTCCAGCCTCTGACAAACAGAGGCCAAGGACACCATTTTATCCCCTGGCTAATAGCCTTTTATGGACCTAACCCCCATGAAATTATCTAGCTTCTCTTTAAACTCTGTTATAGTTCTAGCCTTCACAGCCTCCTCTGGCAAGGAGTTCCACAGGTTGACTACACGCTGTGTGAAGAAGAACTTTCTTTTATTAGTTTTAAACCTGCTACCCATTAATTTCCTTTGGTGTCCTCTAGTTCTTCTATTTAGGGAACTAATAAATAACTTTTCTTTATCGGCCCCCTCCACACCACTCCTGATTTTATAGACCTCTATCATATCCCCCCTCAGTCTCCTCTTTTCTAAACTGAAAAGTCCCAGTCACTTTAACCTCTCCTCATATGGGACCCGTTCCAAACTCCTAATCATTTTAGTTGCCCTTTTCTGAACCCTTTCCAAGGCCATAAAATCTCGAGTATAATCCACACTTTTTTTCTGATTTTTTCTGGGTCAAAGTCGGGGTGCATGTTATACATAGCAGTTATTTTTTAAATTTTTATTTTGGCTCCCAGACAAGGTGAAGAGCCAGTGGCGCTGCCAGGCTGCAGCTCTCTGGCTCCTTCAGGCTGCTCCCGGGAGCCCCCGTGGCAGGCTGGGAGTGGAGAGTGAGCCACAGAGCGCGCCGCCCCCCCCCGGGGGCAGCAGGGCACAGGAGGAGAAGGCGGTGAAGCCCTCTGCTCAGGGGCCACCAACTTCCCTGGCCCGGGGTGTCCTGGCCAGGCCGTCCCCCTACTCTTGGCTGCAGCTGCCAATGATAGCCAGGTCCAGGCTCTGGGAAGCAGGCGAGGCTGGGCTTGGTGCTGGCAGACCTGTTGACAGGAGTGTAGATACATAGGTGTGCATTATATATAGAAGTTCATTTTTTTCCATGATTCTGTCATTGAAAAGGTAGGGTGCACATTATACATAGGTGCGCATTATACTTGCAATTTTATGGTAAGTCTCTTGCCACTGCAAAGGTCTGTGGAGTCAATGGAACTGTCAGAACACTCGTGCAGGAATGGCTTCCAGGTGTTGGCAGAGAATCCAGCACCAGATTCAGGCTACAGGCGACACAATGTTTGATGCTGGAAGACCAGGCTCTGCCCAGCTCCTGGGATGAAACAAGTCCCTTGATGACAGGGACTATTTGCACTAATGCCAGCTAGAATACACTAAAACTGTACTTGAAACTAATAAATTATGAACCAGAATCCAAAAACCACTGGGAAGAAGCCTCTTGCACAAAACTGGCCCCTAATTAATTATGCAAATGAAGCATGGCAATATGCTAATCCGTGCTTCATTTGCATAGGCTTTTGCACAAGAGAGGTGTAGTGTAGATGTAGCCCTAGTGTGGAATGGATATGAGCAAGCACTTGAAAAATAAACAATTTTTTAATGAAATTATTGCAAAATATCTGTATTTTTCAGGGCATTCATAAATATTAAGCACAGACTCTAGAACAGAACCTTGTGGCACTTGCTGCCAACTTTCTGCCATGATGAAAATTTACAATTTTTTCCTTTGTATCTCTTTCCTGTTAGTCAGTTTCTGACCCATTACAGTTTTTTACCTCTCCCCCATGATGACAAAGTTTGCTTCATAATCCCTTCTGAAAGACTCGGATACAGGCTTTTTGGAACTCCAAATAAATTATATCTACCAGTTCTCCTTTAGCCATTTCTGTGATAGGCATTGCACACTGACCTTCCCATTGTGTCCTTTCAGGTTATTAACATTCTCAAAGCTGGTGGTGGAGTAAATATGAATCACATTCCCATTAACTGCAGCAAAAAGATGACCCCCATTACTGAAGGTGCACTGCAGAGAGAGAGAGAGAGAGAGCATACATGCAGCTATTACTGAATGTGTGATGGAAACAGAAATAAACACCAAATACCAAGTCTCTTATTGAAGTTGCAATACAGTCACCCAGTGTTTGAAAGTCATGCAAGAAGAAATCTCTAAATATGGACATAATTTTTCATGATTCCTCTCATCTCATAACACCCTCTTCTTAGCTACCCCATGGGTATGATGACCCGTATTCCCCCAACTTGCTCTCTGCCTTCTTTTTTACGACTCCCAGGTCCCAAGCCCCCTTTATATCCATTTTCACTCAGGATTCCGTCCTCAGATTCTCATATCTCAGCATTTGCACTACTATTCTTCTCTCTCACATCAGCTCCAGCATTGCTTCTCACCACACCATTTCCCCCCAAGCTCCCCAGATTTGAACTTCTGTGTTGCTTCTCACCTCTCTGCACCCTCTCACGGTGAAGTCCTTAAAAGTTCGGATGTCGTCAATTAGCAGGTTCATAAGCCGTAGTTTGTCAGAAAACCCAACCAACACATAATGGCCAGTGGGATGAAGAGAAATTGCATAGGCTTCCTCCTGGTACTCCTTATACAAGTCTAAAGTGCTACAAGAATCACCAGTCAGTAACAGAGCCTGAGTCACATAGTTACAAACTGTCATACAGATGTACAGCCCTGCACTGAAATTGCTGCAACATCCTCTGTAGAGATTCAGGGTGCTGTGAAACAGTTGTGTGTCTGTCACACAGCTGATACAATCAAAGAACTACTTGGAAACCTGAGACCTGCTGATCTATGGGGAAGGAAGGGCAGGCTTGCAGTAGCTGAGAATCACTGGTCCACTGTTATACAATGAAAAAGAGGAATGGAGTTCTGGTTGGATATCACACAACAGAAATACATAGTCTGAGCATCCTTGGCCACGTGAGACAATAAAATCAGTAGAATTACTAAATATTTCATATATTAAACTGCAGTAACTTCAGAGGGGTAGCCAAGTTAGTCTGTAACAGTAAAAATTTAAAAAACAACAAATACTCTAGTAGCACCTTAAAGAATAAATAGTTACAAGAGGTTGATAAGAACCATTAGCACCTCCATTGTTTGATTGGTAGGTTAAGTCATAGGATGTGGAAGGTAGTGTGCGAGCCAGCGGATGTCTTTATTCATACCATTTGCATAAGAATTAAACTTGTAAATGAAGTTAAGTTCCAATCCTTCTCTGTGTATTTGGCTTGTGGAATTTGCCTGAAACAAAACAGTGACTTGGAGATCCATTAATGAGTGTCCAGGTAGATTAAAGTGTTCTCCAACAGGTTTCTGTGTATTGCCTTTTTGGATATCTGATTTGTCCATTAATTCTTTCCCAGACACAAATCAGATATTTGAAAAGGCAAAATTCCGCAAGCCAAATACACAGAGAAGGATTGGAACTTAACTTCATTTACAAGTTTAAATCTTATGCACATGGTATAAACAAAGATATCTGCTGGATCACCACTACCTTCCACATCCTATGACTAACCTACCAACCAAACAATGGAGGTGTTAATGGTTCTTATCAGTCTTTTGTAACTATTTAGTCTTTAAGGTGCTACTAGATTATTTGTTTTTTAAGTTTTTCCTGTTACAGACTAACTGGGCTACCCCTGTGAAGCTTATCTACTCTCTGTCTCTTTTTTTTCTTCCTCCCCACATTTTCTGCCCCTCCTTTTCTTTCTCTTTTTTTCCTCTCCTCTCCCCTTCCCTTATTTATTCTTGGATCCTGCCTTTAACTCCCTGGGCTTGATTTCTATCATGTAGTTTTGAATAAGGTTATCTTGTAAACAACTGAACTCAGGCAGATAAAGCAAGCAGACAGCTGCAGTCTGCACTATGATAAGAAACACAAGACATTCACCAGGTCTATTCTCTACAGGCTGCACTGAATTCCTGTTTGTTCTGGGTATAGTTTCAGGGGGTGGAGGTGCTTGGCCCTGGTCATTCTTGACTTTAGGAGTCACTCCCCACATTGGTCTTTCACAGACTGCATGCATTAGCCTTCAGGGCAGGACAGAAGACTTATGTATTCACTCATCTGTCTGTTGGAGGGTGGCTGTGCAGATGGGGGTGACATTATTTCAGAAAAGGAATTTGTTTAATTTGATTTGGTTAATGATAAGTAATTTATACTAGAAATGACCCCTTCTGGTGCTCATGGAACCATTACAGTTCTGCTAATATTTTAAACAAGGAAACTCATAAAAGAAGTTGCCAATCTTGTGCAGTAATGATGATTCTTCAAAATGTGTGCCCTGTGTGTGCGCCACTCTTGGCAGGGGTGGATGAGAGTTTTGCGGGGCTCAGGGCAGCACAATTTCATGGGGCGCCCCTTTGGAGAAAAAATAGAAAAAGGCGTCCCCCCTGTGCCCACTCCTCCAGTAGCCCCACTCTGATCATGTGAGCTACGCTCCTCATCCCCTCTCCAACACCTCCCTCTAAACACCTGCACTGCCTCTCTCCTCTGGTGCTGGTCCCTCCTCTGCAGGTGTCTGTCCTTCTGCTTCACCTCCAGAATCCCCGGGCACCTGCACCTTCCCTTACCCCTGCAGCCTCCTGGTGCCTCCACCTTCCCTCACTGCCCCTGCGCCCTTTGCCCACTTTTCCCCGATGCCCATCCCCTCACCACCCTCTGCCCCCATTCCCCTCATGCCCGTGCCCTCACACATGCCTTGCTCCATCCCTACCTTCCTCATGCCCACCCCTCCTTTCAAGCCTTCTCCCAGCACCTCTCCCTCCCCCCTTTAGCCTCCAATGCCCTTGCCCTCTCCTCTCCCAGAATCACCCTGTCCCCCCTTCCACTGACACCTCCCCTCCTGCCGTTTTCCTCATTATCTCCACTTGGCCCCCTGGCATTTGTCTCTCCTCCATGCTGTCCTTTGGTGCCTTCCCCCGACCTGCCCCCCCTTCCCCTCAGCACAAGCCCCTTCCTCTGCCATCCACCTTCTGCCTTCCAGTTTTCAGGGCAGCCGCGACCCCAGCCCAGGCTCCAGCCCACGTGCCGAACCAAGCGGTGCAACGCTGAGCACGGTTTTAAAGTCCTGGGCCGTGACATCATGCCACACCTGGGCTTCTCCCCTCTCAGCTGTTGCGTGGCGTTTCAGCACGCCACGCATGCTCTCCCTCGGCCTCACATGGCCCATACTGCCCAGCGCTGGGGAATTTAAAGTGCAGGGCTGCGGCACCATGTCACAATCCCCCTCCTCCTTCAGCAGCCGCCAGATGGTCAACCGGGAAATTCCTGGTACCCCGCCAGGCCAGTCCGCCCCCAGCACTGGCACGGGGCCTATTGAAGCGCGGGGCCTAGGGCATCCGCCCCGCTCGTCCTGCCCTATATCCACCACTGACTCTTGGTGTCTGTAGAGCAGTTCCACCCAGACCCCCAAGGGGCGGTAGGGCTTTGGAGCTATATGTGAGTAGTGGATGAGAGCACAGTAAGGCCAACAGTAGAATCTGAGCTAGGGCTTTGGGTGATTGCATAATGTTAGTTGAGAGTTTTGCTCTGATGTCCAGGTTGCAGTCTACATATGTCGATTAAGGGGACATTGTTCAGTAATGTGACTGATGTTGCCATGGCTCGCACAGAACGGGAGCTGATGCCCGAAGAGGGTTCTTTGCTGCGTATCTGGTAGCAAGTTTGGATACAGTGGAGATCCATTTGGATAGTCTTTGGGTCAATATTGCAGAACCTCTGGAGTTTTCTGTTGTAAAGGCAAATAGTTTTGGTGACTTGCCAAATGGTATAATTCTGTCCAAGTAAAAGGCAATCGCTTGTCTGACATCAAGCATGCGTAATGTGACTTCCAGAGAATCCTCATGTGGTTTGTGGTAGAAGGCAGGTAAATGTTTAGTTTGGTTAGTATGGAAGGGTGTAGCCACTTTGGGCAAGAATTTTTGGTGGGGTTGTATTCCTTTAAGTGCCTGCTAAGCTTGTCTTCTGTAGTGTTTTGGCATCCTGGTAGCTATCATCCTGTGAAGTTTATCTTGTTGCGAATGCACCAGACCTATAAGGTTGCTACACATAAGGACACATTGTCAGTCAGAATGCAAATTGATTTTTTTCATATTGTGGCAAAGTGTGGGCTAAGACCTATGGGTCTTGTGCTTCCTGGTGGGTTCTTGTGGGCCTCACAGGCTTGCAGTGTCCCTAATTAGTGCCACAAAGGCAAGGGTATCCTGCTACCAGAGCCTCTTTCATCATTAGCCAGTCCACTGTCCTTCTTTTTCCAGTCCCTGCTGGCCCTTCTAGTCAGAGGGAAGGGTTGGGGGGGACCTGGTCCTACCCACTTGCTCCAGGTTCCGGCCCAGGCCGTGTAGCTTGGCCCTTGCCCCCTGAGCAGCAGCTCCTCCCTGGGCCACTTCCCCAACCCCTCCTGCAGTACCTCATTCCCAATATCACGGAGCAAACCTTCACGTCAGCGCACTCAGGTGTGTTCTCTTGCTCTGGGCTGCTCCCTTCTCCTTGAGTTCTCTTCTAGTCCGTCCCTTTTCTCCTTCCCCCTAGCCTTGCCTGGAGAAGTGTTTTTATAGTGCACACATCCACCTTAAGTGGCTGTAGGTGTTCCAACTAGTCCTCCCTTCAGGCTGATGCCAGATAGGCTTCAGGTGTGGCTGGCTGGCCATAGTCTTTAACAGCCTACTCAGGGAACATAAAGCCACATATCTAGCTCCCCACATATCTGCCCTCCACGAGGCTTCGGCAGCTCCCTGTTCTCAGGCTGCCACAATATGAGTGGGAGAACATGATGGTATGCATTGTGTACCATGCGGTGTTCTAGGAAACTGATGTGTAGTCAGGCTTCCAGCACAGACCACTTACCCTGTATGTTGTGGTGTTCTCGGTGGACAGCCCCTTCCTATCAGTGATGGACCTGCTATAGTTACCAACAGGGAGTTTTGTTGAAAAATAATCCAAAAGCAAATGTTCTCTGGTTTTATCCACCGCTGTAGTGAGAGGATGACCTTTGGCGGCAGAGCCACTCTTTTTTTGAGAGTGCATTTGCTGGGAGCATAGACCATGCTCAACCAGCTCTGCAGAGAGCACATATGAAGTTTGGTACACTTTACTATGAATGTTACAGTTATCATATGTCCTGGAATCTGAAGACAGGTCCTCACTCTTAGGGACCTCTCTGGTGCTGAACCAGAGAATTTGCTGAACCACAGGAGGTCAATATTGTCTAGCAAATTTACCAACACTTACACTGTTTACTGGGCTCTTAGAAGATGGGTCAGGGTAAATTAGAGCTAAATAACACAGAACACTTAGGGCTCGTCTACACTGGCCCCTTTTCCGGAAGGGGCATGTAAATTTCATGAGTCGTAGTAGGGAAATGCGCGGGGGATTTAAATATCCCCCGCGGCATTTAAATAAAAATGTCCGCCGCTTTTTTCCGGCTTTTAAAAAAGCCGGAAAAGAGCGTCTACACTGGCCCCGATCCTCCGGAAAAAGTGCCCTTTTCCGGAGGATCTTATTCCTACTTCGAAGTGCCCTTTTTCCGGAGGATCGGGGCCAGTGTAGACGCTCTTTTCCGGCTTTTTTAAAAGCCGGAAAAAAGCGGCGGAC